TTCGGAACTTTGGTTTGTTAATGTAATGGAAACATATATAGTTATAAAATATTAAATAAAAATTTTCCTGTATCATAATATATACTCTCTCTATCTGATATTATGTTATACATTTATATATAAAAATGCGTAAATGTATACTATATTTTTGGACAGAGAGAATATATTTTTTGGCATAGAATAAGTTTTTATTTGCTATTTTATGACTATATTTATTTTCTATTAAAAGCATACTTTTTGGATTTTGGTGCCTAAAATTCAGAGCATATTTTTTGAATTTTCCGCCTGAAATTCAGAACCTATGTTTTGAGTTTACCGCCAAATGAAATTAGTTTCTCTCCCAAAACTTTCTATGGGACTTACCTTACTAGGGGGTATATACTTTGCAAATGAATTAAAGTCATTAAATGCTACGTTTGGTCAGTCTTTCTGTATGGAGTTGAAGCCTAGAAATGTGCCTTTACCGCGGAAGGCTCAAAATATCATGGACATAACACATTACGACTCGAACAGTATTAAAACCACAAATAAAGAGTTAGAACTTATTAACAACGATTAAGAAAGAGGAAGATCTCTTACCTAGGCCACATAATGAGAAATGACAAATATAACAGCTACGAATAATAATTAAGGGAAAAATAGTGGGCTGAAAAGTAGTCGGCAGAATAGCCATGTCATCGCTTCGCAATATCAGAACTTGGAAGGGCATGAACGTTCAACAATTTCTAAGAGTGGCGCAGATTAGAAAACGTTTTGATGTCGTGATCGCAAATCTCCCGTAATGGAGTGCACCGGAAGAAGATAAATAGAGAAGAAGTTTCAATAAAATTTCGTTCAATTACTAATTAAACATGTTTCACACATTACACCAAATTCAAATTTTTTAAACATTCACACAAATACATATTTTTATCTCTACACCAGCTATCCTGGGGGCATTCACCCAAAACTGTTTTTGCAGACGCTTTTTATCAAGAATGAATCATCTGGGGTTTAACCTTTGTTTGCCTACGATACAAAGCCGCAAAATCGATACAACCATTAAGTAAATCAACAGTTTTTTTCGTTGTTTCGTTTAGAATACATTAACATCTGTTGATATAATAAATACGAATGTAGCAGGTATACTATTAATTTTTATTTATGGACAGAAAGGTGAAACGTGCCAAAAAATTGATCGAAATGTAAAATAGATCGTATAAATTATAAAGGTGCTTACGATTTCTAATGATGGAAATAAATCTATATTCTTATCTACACGCAAAAAACGCAAAATCTATATATATATATATATATATATATATATATATATATATATATATATAGAATTTTTTGCTCCTGGCGTTTTATCTGCAACCGCGGCAGACACTATCAAAGGCAATGCGACAGCGGATGTAATAATTTTTGTCGCTTGTAATAAGAGACATTATAGAGCAATGACACATATTTTTCAAAAACTTGATAATATATCAACTTTAGCGTAAACATTGCAGAAATATTGTCAAATTATAAAATATAGATCTTATATTGAACTCCGCCTGCAGTTTTGTTGAATGGATCGAGAAGCTCGACAGAACAGTTACTGGTCCCAAGCCCGGATAAAGGAGAAGGGAGTTTACAGCCAGGTTAGCCCCCTACTGATAGACTTTAAACCCATACAGCTCATAGAAACAAGATTATGCCTCAGAACAGGAAAGTTTTCATTACGACGACTAATGCGAAAAAGAGGACAACGAATTTATGGAAAACGAGAAATATACTTTTCGCATCGGTACTTGGAACGTAAAGTTTAGAGAGCAGGAATTTGCAAAAGAGCTTGTAGAAAAAATATATAACATGTGCACTACAAGAGACGAAGAAAAAAGAAAAGGGTCAAATTATACTGATGATTTACAGTGGTGTTGCGAAAGAAACCAGAGTCAAAGAAAAAGTTGGTACATAGAAAATTTTTACACCAAGTACAATAATGTAAATATATGAAAGAATAGTAAGTGTAAAAGTTAAACTGGATGTCAAACCTCTGAATGTGATAGCAATCTATGCACCAAAAAACAACAGAGATACCAAAACAAAGGGAAAACTTCTACGAACACCTTTGTTGGGAAAGTATGTGCGAATTCATTTCATATTTTTACAGTTAACAGTTACCGTCACAATTAGTTAAAATTATCGGAAAGGTCGCAATACAATGGAATGATTTATTGGTACACCCTCTCGGACCACCGCTTAGAGGGTTCATTCCCTATAAGAAAATCGCATAATTAAAAGTCTAACGGGGTCAAATCGCGCGATATCGGGGACCAGTTCACATCATCTCCACGTGAGATAACCATGCCCTCAAATCGCTCATGCTATGAACCGTCCTATTGAGACCACATGTCATTGGTGTCCATATAATCCAATTCAGGTTAAAATAAATTGATAATCATTGGCCTATACCACTCGACACTTAAGCGTTGTTAGATTTTGTCAGCATTGTCTTCAGTAAAGAGCAATAATGGTAGTGGGATAACGTCGGTCCGTGAATTCCTATTTTATCTATTAAAGTACCCCTCCAGCCTGGCATCGTCGACAAGATTTGTTTTAGTTTTATAACCAATTTTGATTTAGTTTTATTAACGTTTAGGCGAGCGTTCCGAAGCTGTTAGACGGAATCTTATGCGTGAGCTATTAGATTCACATGTTTTGCGAATTAGAAAATATCTATCTAACTAATGATCCCTTTAAAGTAATTAAACTTTTATTTTCAAAAAATGTCACATGAAATGGAACAGTAAGAATTATAAGCACCTTTGGAAAGCATCGAAAAACGAAGATTTTAAGATTTTAGCATGCAGAAGAATGTGATGTCTCAGGTAAAGATGCACAGTTTGAACACAGCGATCATGACACGGGCACCAAACAGTTCGATATTAAATACCTTTAACCTCAAAGGACTTACAAGATGACTAACACAATTACATTGAGGAAGATGGTATAACAAAGTGGTTAAACCATAAAGAAATAAAACTTCCTTCCTTCGAAGTAAAACTCATTCGAAAAACAGTGTAATAAAATTACCGGGAGTAGATGGATTGCTAAAAATTACTTTTTTCCAGATGAAATTATTGACCTCATCGTGGAATATACGAATCTACAGATTGACCTCATGAGATCTAAATATCAACGTGAGAGATTGTTTTCCTACTAATTTTAAAGAAATGCGCGCTTTTTGGGGTTCTGTACTTAGCTGGGGTGAAAAAATCATAACATTGAAATATAATCGAACTATGGAACAGTACCAGATTTTTTTAGCAGTTACGTCTAAGAACCAATTTCACTTGATAATACAAGCAATTCGATTTAATAATAAGGCAACCAAACAGAAAAGAGTAAAAGAGGATAATATATCTCCACAGCGTTATATTTTTGATAATGTTTTAAATGTGACCAGTGCTATTCCCTTGAGGAGTATATTACCATAGAAGAAATGCTAGAGGCGTTTAGGGATGTTGCCCTTTAAGTGCCAATAAACCTGCGAATTATGAAACCCACAATTTAGAGATATACCAAATGATCAGTTTCAGTTCATATTATGAGAGAAGTGCCGTAAAACGTCTAGTAGAGCATTGTAGTAATTGAAAGCAATGTAATTATTGTCAATTAATTTGCTTTGGTGTCGCTAGTGATATATTTATTAAAATTACAGAAGGATAAACGGGAAATCTCTAATGATTTTCTAAATACAAAAATTCGTGACGCTAAAATTATTGTTTGCATATGAAAAAGACCCAAATCAATGTACGCTTCTTACAGCATACATATCAAGGCGTGGTAAAAAGATTTTGATGTTATCCTCATTCCACAACAAAGACGAAATCAACATTTAATCTGGAGACAATCCCATAATAACCCAAGCCTTGGGTTATTAATGTTTGTAACCTCACAAAGGGCGCACTGAATGTTGTAGGCACTGTGAAGATTGAATACTCTGTTACAGGGTAAGCAACATGTAGCCACACACTGTCTTGCTAAATACTAAACATTGGAGGAATAAATTCCTAGTTTATACCAGCAACACCGGAGGAAATGTTCCTTGAAGACAATAACTTGGCATCACAGCTTGCTTAACCTCATTTACTAAAGCATGCTAGAATTTTAAAAAATTCAATACGTTTCTTAATAAAAAATTCAAAATGTCCTAGGTCAAGAAGCTTCTTCAACAGAACGAGCCAACGAGGAACTAATTGGTACCCAGAGAAAACTTAAATGCTCTTTTTGTCCAATTAGAAAAAATAGATTCACAAAATATAAGATGTTGAAGCCGGAATTCGAATTAATGGAGAATATATCAATAACATCAGATACGCGGATAAAACGGCGGTATTCGCTGACAGTTATGAAGCCCTCCAGGAGTCAAATGAATAGAATCACAGAAATGAGTCAGAGATATCGACTATAGATACGTTCGTGTACCACTCGTAAGAACACTTTTAGAATATGGTTCATCAAGCTAATTGGCCTGTGCTCTTCACACTTCAATGCGTTTGATTTTTGGGTATTGGAATGAATATTGATATTAACTATTCTTTCGGAATGTCTCCCGTATAATAAATATCACTAAATAATTCTATTAGTGTGCCCATATGATTTTTTTTAATATTCTTAAGATTTCTGTAGGTATTTCATCTGGTCCCATGGCCTTCTTATTTTTTATACGAATTTCCTGGCTGAAAACACATTTTGGTTGTTTTTTTGACTACGATTTGTATAATTCAAGTTTTTATCACGATTTTGTTTGTTTAATTGTTTCTTTTAATGGTCCAAACGGTAAGTTTTGTTTATTTTACGAATGTACTTTAATAAATATTAACAAAAAATATCATAGTGTATTTCATTTCTATATAAATAGCTAAAAATTCGCATGGTAGATTAAATCTAATATTCGAGTAACGACATAATAATTGACCGCGTGAGTGATCGCGAATTAAAAAAAAACAATATTATAAAAACGTACTTACAGGTTTAATATCACGATGTAAAAATCCGACAGAGTGTATACTTTCGATGGCCTTAAGAATTTGTAAACCTAATCGCAAAGTAGTGGACAAACTGAAGGCAGCTCTGGGTTGGGCCCTTCTCAGTTCTGCCAAGTTACGCCCCTGCAGTTGCATCACAACATAGTTAAATCGATCATTTCTACCACAGCCAATAAATCTGAAACAATAATAATAATAATGAAGCAGACGGTAATAGTTCTAAATAATACAGTCTATCTTTATGTATAAGAGGGTAATAATCAGAAATAATCCCTAATTAAAAAAAAATTTAGTACAGTCTATGGCCTCAGCGGTGGTTACAAACTGTACTACACTGAAGTAAATAATCTAATATAAGTGAAGATTAAGACCAATAGATTAACATACAATAAAAAAGGGCCTTGAATAACTATATTTTCACAACTTACAGCTGATTTTAAGCTTCTAATTTAGCCTTTCCCAAATCCTTTGATGATGAACTGTCTTTGGCACTTACTTCGAGGAATAGAAGAAAAGCAAGTGAAGAACTATTTGATTTGTCAGAAGGTATGGTATTGAAAATATAGAAATAAGAAATATGATATTAATCAACGTATAAGACGTCTTTAAGATGAAACACCTGAAATGTCGGTGTGTAAAGAAACAGTGTTCTTCTTCTTATAGTGCCGTGCTGTGCACTTATACCTATAGTGCGTTGGCGAACTACCTGAAGCCAGATGCTTGTCTTTTGCGGCATGCAAAAGATCGCCAGTGTTATTTATGCCTGTCCAGTTCTTTATGTTCCGTAGCCACGACATTTGTTAGGGGCCTACTCCTCTCTTGCCTTCAATTCTTCCCTGGATGATTAGTTGACCGATTGCGTATTTTTTTCCTCTCAGAATATGGCAGAGGTATCAAATTTTTCGTACCTTGATCAATTGAGTAGTTCTCTCTCAGTATTTGCCTTTCTTAAGACTTCCTCGTTTCTCACCCTATCTATCCATGGTATGCGGAACATTCTTCGCAACGTCCATATTTTGAAGGCCTCCAACAAATTAATGGAAGGTACTCTTAACATTCATGTTTCCATGCCGTATACCAATATGGACCATACATAGCATTTAACCATCCTACAGCGGATATTGGAGGAAAGATTGCGGTTACATAGTAGCGGTTTAAATTTGATAAAAGCTTGTCATGCTTGTTCGGTATGGAATTTTATTTCTTGTTGAGGATCCCATTGGTCATTCATCATCATTCCCAAGTATTTAAATGTTTTCACTTGATCGATTGGAGCGTTATCGACTTGCAGTTGTATTCTTAAAAGTGCATTTTTTTCTTATTGCCATGCACTTAGTTTTTCCAGCATTTATCTTCAAGCCATATATTTTTCCTACGGTGTTATTTTATAACATCACTGCATATCATGTCGTTGTCTGTATTATCGCGGTTACGGCGTAACGAATGTTATTTATCGGGAATCCGTTTACCTTTATTCCACACTCAGAGCCTTCCAGTGCCTCTGCAAAAATGTTCTCCACATAGAGATTGAAGAGCATAGGAGACAAAATACACCCCTGTCGCAGCCTCTTAAAATTTCAAATTCTTCTGTGTTGGTTGATTTGTTCAGTCTCACTTGTGCTTTTTGATTCCAATAGAGATTCTGGATAACTCTTATATCTTTCTCGTCAATGTTAGCGTTATGTAGCATTTTTATCCTTGCGTTATGTTTTACGGTGTCAAACGCTTTTTCATAATCGAGGAATGTTATGACTATATCCTTTCGTTGATCCATGCAGTTTTGTACAATCGTATTCAAGTAGAAAGCTGATTCACGTGTACCCAGTCCGCTCTTGAAACCAAAGATAAACACATAAACAGATATCACAGACATAGAATTATAAGAGATACACAAAATTCACCGAAAAATAACAAAGAAATATTTAAGACACAAATAATAAAGACATATGAATGGATAGTTGAGGAGATTCTGAGCATAATACGAGATATAAGATAAGCTGAAGGTTAAGAATACGAATGATTAAATAAAATTATTAAAAATAAAAATAACTATCAAAATGGCCAAAGATAATTGGTTAAGTAACAATTGTACACAGATATTATTACTAAAAAACATAATTCCTTTAGCCTGCATAAAAAGTCATGGATGCTGAAGGTTTATACAGGCATAAGAAAGCTGGACATCTAACAGATGAACTTGAATACAAATGGTATTGGAAATAAAACAGAAGGAGGATATTTGGACAAAATATGCGGAAAGAAGTTTTCACAATGTACAGAGATGACATCGACAACATAATTAAACTAAACCTCCATTTACAATCAAGGATGTAAAGTATGTTATTAAAAGTATTAAAGACGGAAAGCAATAGGCCCTGATAGTTTTGTCTTGAAATTCTTAAAACTTATGGACAACAACAGCATCAAACAGCATTACAGCAGAAAACTATATTTAACACATACATATTTTATATATTATGACAGGAAAACTATGGAATAAATTTATTTTTTCAAAAATAGGTGACTTTGGAGACAAATCTCCAAAAAGTCAATTTTGATTTATAATTTGTGATTTTTTGGCATATATATCATCCATCTGGGAGTAATGATGTAATTGATGATTTTTGTAAATGAAGAATTGAAAGAAAGAAAGAATTGAAAGAATAGGGGTCATGTGCTAGCTTGTTTTAAACGTTTATTCAATTCTCTCTTCAATAATATAAATATTAACATAATTATTTATACAGTGTAGCCAAAAATATTTCATTTTTAAATTAAACTAATTTATACAATAAGAAATATGTATGTAATTTATGTAATACAAAATACATTTTAGTGCCATCAAAAAGCATAAAAATTGTTTATTTAAGTTAATGTTAAAATTGCCACCCACCTGCCCCTTGGCAGTAATTGAAACAATGACAAGATTTTTTTGATCATTGTGAATCAGTACTGCTGTTAATAATGTTTAACTAGTGTGAAAAAAAAAGCAGATAGCGGGTAGGAACTCCTTTGGACAGTCCTACCAGGGAAAGTAAATAATCACTGCCCTCCGCAGATTCCAGGACCCTGGGATTCCTGACCCGGGAATCTAGTACCTGATTAGGGTCCCTTGTCCAGGGTCACGGATGACGACCACAACGGTATCCACGGCGGAGAAGAACATCTTCGGTACAGTGTATATGGCGGAAGTGGTGACTCCCGATTTTAGGGTTTGTATAAAATTAAAAAGGGTGGACGGAACTCGTTAGCGGTAGATCCCGCAATTCGTCTAGGAGAGGGAGATTCTGAACCCAATCCACTGGTCCTCCATTTTGAGGGTTCAGGCATTGGGCTAACTCCCCAGTAATTGTAAAAAATATAAAAATATTAAAAAATCCGCCTCGGAATAGGACGGCACAACAAAGACGACATAACCTTGGAAAAGGACACGATTTTTTGGTACATGGAACTTTCAAGGTATATCAAAAAACTCAATGAAGTCTTACATGACAGTCTTACATGAGAACTAAAAATAGACATAGCAGTCATTACCGAAACAAAAAAGAAGGGAATGAGCTCTCAAAATCTAGGAAAATATGACCATTTCTATAGTGAAGTACCAAAAGAATGTAGAGCTCAACAGGGAATTTCTTTAATGATTCACAGAACACTAAGAAAGTTCATAACAACCTGGGAAGCCATAAGTGAAAGATTAATTAAAGTAAATATGTGTCTTCAAGGATATAAACTAACAATTATGGGCGTATACGCAAAAAATATCGACCCACTAGCCAATGTAAAAGACGCATTTTTTGAACAGCTTCACGAAGAAATATCGAAAATAAGTCAATCGCGGGAAATCATATTAATAGGGGATATTAACAGTAGAGTAGGAAGAAAAGATGCTGATGAAATAGTAGGAAAATACGGAGAAGACACCACGAACAACAATGGTGAAAGATTCATAGATACAGTGCGGTAAGTTTTGGATTAGGTATACACTCTATAAATGGCAACACTGCGCGTCTTCGACTTGCACTGCATATCTGCTTCGTTGACTCGTCGTTGCACGTCGCCGGTCGGCAAATTTGTCATATTGTCATTATACCGTGGTTGTTTAAAGGTATAACAGCGTAGAGTTTTAATTTATTTTTATAAACATGTCTGTTTATATGGCCGCGGAAAAAGCTCAAATAATATAATAGTTTTATAGTGGCAATTATGCGCAACAGTGTGTAGATTTATTTTCTGTGTTTTTTTTGGGGGGAGACCAATTCCTGTGTACAGTCAATTTATAATATTGTTAAAAATTTTGAGAGTTGTTATTGCCTCAAAAATTGCAGAAAATGTCACGCTCGAGAAGTGTTACCAGAAAAAGTTGAGGAAAGAGAATACCGGGATACACAAATTTGTGTAACAATCGAGTTAGATTCAACACGTTCAAGTAGAAGCGTTGCTAGAGAGTTAGATGTTAGCAATGTTACTGTAACGAAAGTATGGAAAAAGCACGGTTACAAGAATTTTAAATATTCGAAAACGCAGCAACTTATCCAGACGATTACTTTCGAAGAATGGAGTTTTGTGAAACTCTAATAACGAAGGCTAATAGTGAACCAAATTTTATTAAAAACATTTTATTCACTGATGAATCTTCTGTTTCGTTAGTAGGTATTGGGCGCGGGAAAACCAGCACAGAAGTGTTGTTTACCGAACTCAACGTCCTCAAAAAGTTAACGTCTGGACTGGCATTTTAGGAGACCACATAATAGGTCCATTTTTTATTGAGGGCAACTTGAATAGTAGAGTATACCTCGATTTGTTACAGAATCATGTTCTTCCCGCTATTCTCAATCTTCCTGATGTAAATCTGGAGAATGTTTGGTTTCATCAAGACGGCTGTTCAGTTCACAACGCTCGAATTATTAGGGAGTATTTAAACAATACTTTCCCGAATCTAGTTATCAGTGGAACAGGCGATATTAAGTGGCCTGCGCGATCTCCAGATCTTACACCCATGGACTTCTTTTTTTGGGGACATTTAAAAAGCATTATCTACGCTCATCCTGAGGCTAGAGCCTAAAATTTGGATGAATTAAAAAATCGAATAAGAGAAGTCTCCAATTCTGTTACAGCAGAAACTCTTTCATCTGTTCGCAGAAGTTTTTATGACAGATTGGGGTACTGTTCAGCCGTAGAAGGTCAACTATTTGAACCATTTCTGTAGGTCATAAAGAATTATTTTTTATTTTATTAGGAATATTTTTAATTTTCAATAAGAGTATATTTTTTAATTTATCTTTTTAAAGAAATACGCTTTTATTTTTAATTCAACCACAAAAAAATTTTCACATTAATAAAAATCGATAACAATGCACCGATTAGTTCAGTGCATTTTTATCGAATTTCCTACTATTAAAATCGGCTTTACGTAATGAAACATGAGATCGGACGACAGAGAAGTACATCCCTAACGTTGTTGTGAGTTACTAAACTAAAATAAATGATTTTCTGTCGGTGTAGATTTTCGGGTCGGAGAACGAACATTTGCAACGTTGCCGATTTTAGCGCTCCGTATAGTGTGCAATACCTAATCAAAAACTTAATGCACATGCATCCATAATCAACTCAGAATCTTAAATGGATACTTTCCATATTAACTGATACACAGCTATACATGGATTCAGGTAACACGAAACATAAAATCAATAATCAATTATATTGTAACAAAACAAAAAACCCGACTGAGAGTACATGTAAGAACATGTTAACTCTGAACTCTTACATCTTACAGAAAGATGTAAGAGTTCAGAGAAGCGCAACATGCGGTAGCGATCACTATTTATTTAACGTTAAAAAATACACTTCCCAATCCCAAGACAACAGAGAGAAACACATATAAACATAAACAAGACAGAAAAGATACAGGAACGAAGATACAACATCAGAAGCCTAGATGAAGAAAGTACCCAACACTTATTCAAAAATAGATTGGATGAAAAGCTAAGAATATCGACCAGTTATATGAACATATAAAAAACTGTTTACACGAAGCATCATTTGAAGCAATGGAATACTACATAAAACCCAAGGTAAACAAACCATACTGGTGGGATATCGAAATAGAGGAAGAAATAAAATTTAGAAGGCAACTATACCAACAATATTTAAGCTCTAAATCATTACAGATCATAAGACAAAGTAAAATATAAAAAAACAAGCAGAAATACAAAGGAAAATCCCTAAGAAGAGGAACGAGTCTTGGGAAAGAAACGCCAACGAATAAGTACTTATCTAGGAGGAACCAGAAGCACAGAAAGCTGGAAACCGATAAAAAAATTAAGAAAAGAATAAAGAAGTAATACAGAGCATAAAATCTGAAGACTGAAAAGAGTATTTCAAAGAACTTTTGGTAGAGATTAGTGTCAAATTTCAAGAATATAGAAATCAAAACCAAGATAGAATTATAATAGTCGGCGAATAGTCGGCTCACCAATAAGATTAACAACAGAGGAAATTAAAAATGTATGTAAACAGCTGAAGAGGAACGAAGCACCCGGACCAGGGGATATACCCGGAGAATTGTTTGAGTACGGAACAAACAAATTGTATGAAACTATTTCAAGAATGTATAAACACAAAAGAAACCTCTACGGAATGGAAGATATCATACCTCAGTACCATACATAAAAAGGGTGATAAAAATAATTGTGAAAATTACCGAGGAATAGCTGTAACCGGACCTATGATTCAAATATATGGAAAGGTTTTAAAGAACCGAATCGAGAGAGAATACTTAGATTATGAAGCAGAGAAACAAGCAGGATTTCGTACGGGTCGATCCACTATTGCCCACATTTCTTCTTAACCCAGATAATAGAAAAAAAGATGGCAAGAAATCAAGAGATTCATATGTTGTCCGTCGACCTACGGAAAGCCTACAACAGCGTTCCACTGAAGAAGCTGTGGCATTAATAGAAAGCACGAATATAAATATAGCATTAATAAAAGCCATCAAAGTACAATACAACCAACCAATAACAAAAATAAAAGCAGAGACACAAATAACAACAGGATTTATAACATCAAAAGGATTAAAGCAAGGATGTTGTTTGTCCCCCACTTTATTTAAAGTATACCTCGAAAGTGCTTTAAAAAGACGGAAACAAAAATACAGGACAATGGGGATAACGTCCATCAACACTATGGTATATACACTCAACTTTGCAGACGGTAAAGTAATAATGGTTCAAGATTATGACAATTTAAACTATATGGCACGAAAATTAATTGAATATGGGGTCTAGAAGTAACTAAAAAGAAAACTGAATACCTGTGTATTGGAGTAGAATAAAAAGATCTCACATTAGACGATAACACCACAATAAAGCACTGCTGTGACTACAAATATTTAGATATCACTATTTCACAAGATGAAACATTAGACAAAGCCATAAGAGAGAGAAATATGTCAAGGAGAAAAGCCATCACAATGTTAAACAGCATGTTATGGGACCAATCCATCAGCAAAGAAAATAAAAAGAGGATATATGAGACTGTAGTAAAAAGTATCACTTCATACAGCTGTGAGGTATGGCCACTGAAAGAAAGAACACTGGCAACACTGAAAGGGATGAAAATGGATTTTTGGAGAAGAGCCACAGGAAGATCTAGAAGAAAAAGGATTAGAGAAATAATGGGAATCAAATGAACAATCACAGATGATCTAACAACAAAACAACTTATCTGGTTCAGACACATACAAAGAATGGATGAACAATGAATACCAAAAGAAATATTAAAATGGCAACCAGAAGGAAAGAAAAAATGAGGTAGACAGAGAAAAAGTTGGAGCGATGGAATAAATAAAGAACTAAAGGGAGAACAACCTGACTAGGTGGCAATTGGAAGTCGGAAAACGACGGAGAATGTTATAAACCGACAAGTAGTAGTAGTAGTACAAAAAGAAAAACACAGCAAGCCAAAAAGTATATTTTTTAAAAATTGACTTGGGTCAAATTTAAGTCAGTTCTTTGCATTATCTTATAAGGACTAGTTTATTGCATGAAATAAATAAATAATGGCCCATTAACAGAAACACAAATAATTGAAGTATTAATTATGGTTAGATGTGGAGATAAAATCAGAACACAATACGAAGTATGTAATTTATTTATTATAAAAAATCCTAACACTTATGCCTATCACGCAATCCACTGTTAGTAAAATTGAGAAACAATTTAGAGAACTGGGTATGTGAAATATGTTGCAAATGCTGGTTGTCCACCAATAAATAATAATGTAAACCTGGATGTAGGTATTATTAAGTGAAGTGATATAATTATATTCTCAACTATCACTGCCCATACATTTATTCTTTGAGGGTGCTGAGTGTGTCTCAATTTTATTTAAAATTGAGAGTAACATACAGATATAATGAGTTATCTAATTTTATATAAGAGAAATATGCTTTTGGGCATATTGGATACATATAATATATTAAAATTGATTTCTTTATTAAGCTTTTAACTATATTGTACACAACAGCAAACATGACAATTATTTTATTGTGTACTGCAGAATAAAATAAAATGTATTTTTTAACAAATGTGAAGTCTATGATAAATATAAGAAAACTTTGAACATTTACAATTTAATATGCATATTTCATTCCATGTGTGGATGTTTAATTATACTTTCTCCTATAGTTTCACATTTGAGCTAAAGTAATCATTTTAGTGACAAAATTACCATATCCTGATGCCCACAGTGAATGAAATTATTCATTCTCTACAATTCAAGAACAATTAAAGATACAATCTGTGTGACAAGCCCCTGAATTAGGTCCAACTAAGTAATTATTTTATTGATTTACCTGCATATATGTTCCTTTCCTTGTAGTTTTTTAAGAACTGCCACTTCCATTTTCAACACCTGCTTGGGTTGCCTTGCAGATTCTACCTTAAGTGCCACTTGTTCTCTTGTGATTAAATCTAATCCTTCATAAATCTCCCCAAACCCACCACCACCAATTTTTTTCACCACCTGAAAGATAAAAAACAATGATTTATTAAAAAAATAAGTTGGCTATGTTGTCATTGCAATTGAAAATAATTGAAATAAATGAGGTTTGAGGAAGAACAAAGGAAAGGGGGTTGTTAAAGGATAAGTAGGATTTTTTAAGAAAAAATAGATTGTACCTTCCATCTCTCCTTGACAACATGTCCTGGTTGTAAAAGATCTTCGGATGTCATTGTAATATTGTTATTTTGATCAGTAGAATCTAAATGACCTTCCCAGCTCAGCTTTTTTGGCCTGAAAAATACATTTTTGAATTAATTCATCGATTGTCTTCACCTGGTAAAAGCTTCTTAGCTGTCAACTATTCTATTCAAACAATCAATTTTTAATCAAATTTTGTTACGCTATATGAAACCAACATATCACAGCTGTAAATGGAATTGCCTAAAAATGGGCAAAACCGCATTAAAAACCAGCTGACTCCTTTCCGCGCATGTCAATATTTTAAAGGACTCAATGGCCTTCTATCTTCTGAAACGCCCGAAGATTATTGATTTTTTAAGGGTAAAATTCCATAAATCTCAGCCCACAATCAAAAAGCACAATTTGATTAAACCCATTAAAAACATGCTTTCATTTTAAGCTTACCAAAACTACTAAATCAAAGATATCAATTTCAAAATTAAACAAAATGTTTTAGCATTTGTACGAAATTTGCGAAACAATACGAACTGTGCACAATTGTAGAATATTACAAATTACAAGATTTTCGCAAATAATCTGCCAAAAATAACTTGGTAATTTTAGAAAAAGTAAAAATGACAGGTAAAAATACCTTGAGAGGTGTGTAATAATTATATCACACACCTCAGCTCAAATGTTAATATTCAAACAAAAATGATTGAAATGATTATTGTAAAACTTAAATGAAGAAATGTATCAATTCAAAACAAAAATCATTGCGAAACATGCAGATTATTTTAAAAAAAGTGCCTTGACATTTTCCAAAGGACGATGTGCAAAATTTAGCTTCTCAAGCAATTAATTTTGTGAAAATAACTGAACGATAAACATGAAAGCATGCATACTTGTTAAATACATGGCTATATACCAATAAAACTGCTTAAAAAGCTTAATATTTTACGTTTCTTACAGTTAATTGTGGTGTTAATCAATATGAACGCCATTTTTCCTGATGACCTGAAGTTGGCTTTTATATGTCTGTGGGTTTTCGCGCGTCGTTTTAAATTCTCACACACTTTAATTTAATATTTCGGTTTCTAATTTTTGAAATATTACTTTAGTCTTATATATGATTTTGAAACTGACATTTTAATTTTGATATTCAATATAAATTGTCAAATTTAGACCGCAACAGTTACTTCATCAAAAAATTATTATTTTATTTAAGATTGTTTGTTGCTTAAAGAATACTTGCATCTGACTTTATTGAATTAAAAATTATAGCTTATAGTACATAATTTTTTCTGATTGACAGTAAATATCCAACAAAAGTATTTTCTATTAAAATTTTCTAGAATAGGCAACCACTTAAACACACAATTAGCGCCTGGTATAGCCAAACTTTAAAGTTTTTTAAATGTTGGAAAGAAGAAAGTTTTCTAATTGTCGTTTATAAAAATAGTATATACAATAATTGGTAACTATATTTACAGAAACTCGGGAAGTAAATTAAACATATCCAAATGTAAATCATTTCACATTTAAAAGGCAACACAATAATATAAAAATGTCTTTTGTATTGAATCGGTTAGGATGACGAGAAATGCAAACTAATTCATCTGTGATAAAATTAGATGCTATGCGGACTTAAATCATATAAGTATTTATATGATTTACTTTAAGTTACAATAAAAATATTTGGTTCGATGACCCAAAGACACTTAAAATAAGTCGTGTCGAAGTTTTTACCGCTACGTGGAACTCATTTATTTTAATTAAGATAAACAATTTAATAAATATCTTGGTTTTATTTGTATTTATATATTTAGAACAAGTTGAACATACGAGGAACGGGCAACTGAAAACTTGTTCTAAAAAAGGATGCTAAAATTATCATTGGCGTCGCTGGGGGCTTAACGCTTCCCAGAATCTCTAGCCTCCCCAGAGATTGAGTGAACTTTTAAGAGTCATCGGCGTGATAACTTTTAGGTAAATCTTGCTGTATTGAATAAGAGTTCAGTATCGTACCACATACTCTTTTCAAAGTAAGCGGAAAAACAAAAATATGACCGCTCAAAATTCGATTTAATATGATGCCTTCTAGACTCTTGTAAAACAAAAGCACTCTTATGCAACTTATATTCATCGTATACATAAAATAAATTTATTTAATAATTAAACATAGTTATAGTACCTAGCAGCCCCTACCGTTTCGTACATTTTACAAAAATCTTTGGCGATAAGAAACAAAGAACTAACAGTTTAAATACAACACGATGGACTTAATGTTAATGTACACGATGTTCATGTGCATTATCATTAATTTTACCTATTATCATTACCACTACATTGGAGGACGAAATTTTGATGCCAAATAAAAAGATGCTATTAAAGTGAATGAAAGAAATTCTCGCCAGTCTCCAATATTTGTTTTGTACTTTTTATAATGCAGGATGAATGTGTTGAGCCCAAATTAAACTAGAATCTACCCTTGAAGGCGCTTCTATTCTTATTACAGGCATGCTGACAAAATCGAGAGATGACAGACAGAAAGAGGCATGGGAATGTATCAAACAACGATGTAATATACTAACCGTTGTATCGAACGTGTTTCTGAAGATCTTTGTGTATGTTTACCTCCATTGCGATTATCAAATGACAAGAATGAAAGCACTATGTACAAATATTTCGCGGCAAACTTACCGAAATCTCTTAACTGCTTTACAAGAGATTAGATGGACTGGAGAAGGTACACTAAAAACTAATAAATCAGTAGTATTTTTCGGCGGAAGCGAATGAGAACATCAATTCGGAACTGGTTTTATAGTCAGGGAAAGTCTTGTGGGGTCAGTTTTAACTTTCAAACCCGTTAATGAAAGATTTTGTTATATCAGAATCAAAGGACAACTACATAACTATTCCCTAGTTGCTGCCCATGCACCGACAGAGGAAAAGGAAGAGCATGTAAAAGATAACTTCTACGAGAAACTAGAGGAACTGATAAATAATTTACCTAAACAGGACATGCATATTATCTTAGGAGATTTCAATGCAAAGATTGGGAAGGAAGCAGCGTATAAACCAACTATAGGTAACCATAGTCTTCACGATGTTAGCAACGATAATGGAACAAGGCTAATAGACTTTGCAGCATCCCACAATCTACTAATAAAATCGACAATGTTTGAACACAAGAATATACACAAACAAACATGGGTCTCCAACGACGGCGTCACAAGAAATCAGATTGATCATGTTCTAGTAGATGCCAGGAGGGGTAGTAACTGTCTAGACGTAAGAAGCCTAAGAGGAGCTGAGACACGGATCATTTTCTTGTAAAAGCGAAGATAAGGACAAGAATAGCGTCCAAAAAAACACACAAGAATACACCAACACAATTATGGAATACCGAAGTTCTACGTAATAAGGAGACAGAACAGAAATTTCAAAAGGCTATAAAAATCGCTCTAGCACAGACAGAAGACTATAACAACATAGACTCAGCTTGGAAAAATATCAAAGTAGCTCTGAGAAGCGTATCAGATGAAACACTAGGACACAAAAAGAAAACAACAAAAAAATGGTTCGATGATGATTGCCTGAACTCCATATTAGCAAGAAATATGGCTAGAAGGAACATGCTACAAAACCCCTCGCACAACAACAATGAAATGTATAGACAAAGAAGAACAGAGACAAAAAAACTAATGAAAAGGAAGAAGAGAGAGTATCAGGAACAAATAATCAGAGATATAGAAGAAAAAAGAAAGAACAAACAAGCGAGGCAGTTTTTTAAAGGAGTTTCAGATATCAAGACCGGGTACCAAGCAAGAACAGGAAATTTTCTTCAAAACGACAGTGGGCAGCTTATCACTGATGACAAGGAAATCTTAAAAACCTGGAAGGAATACTTCTATCAACTATTGAATGACCAATCTAGCAGAAGTACATCAAACATACAGGTACATACAGCTGAAATAGAAGACCAATACCCGACATACGAAGAAGAATACAGGCAATTAAAAAACTCAAAAATAATAAGACACCAGGTAGCGATGGTATACCCGCAGAGTGCTTAAAACATGGAGGAGAAGCGTTGTACAGTTCGATATACAAGCTAATTCAAGACATTTGGCAAGAAGAAACAATGCCAGATGAATGGAAAGAAGGGGTTATTGTACCAATACACAAAAAAGGAAACAAAAAGCAATGTATTAACTACAGGGGAATAACACTCCTAAACACCACCTACAAAATTCTTGCAAACATCCTGCTATTAGAACCAAAACATACACAGAAAAAATCGTTGGAGATTATCAATGCGGATTTAGACCGGGCCGCTCTACAATTGACCAGATATTCACAATAAAACAGATAATGGAAAAATGCTGGGAGTTTGATCGTGAGCTTCATCAGATGTTCATAGATTTTAAACAAGCATTTGATAGAGTATGTAGGGACAGACTGTGGACAGCGATGCAGGAACTTGGCTTTCCAAAAAATCTAGTCCGGTTGATACGGATGTGTATGGAACGGTTACGATGTAAGGTGAGAGTTGGACAACAATACTCGGAGACATTTGAAATAAACAATGGACTAAAACAGGGAGATGCACTTTCACCACAACTCTTCAACTTAGCTCTGGAGCACATAATAAGAAATGCAAGAATCGAAAAACCGAATACAGTATTTCATCGAGAAGGACCAAACTTACTACTGGCATTTGCAGACGATATAGATCTAATAGGAAACACGCGATTAAGGATGAAGGAGACTTTCGTAAGGTTTGAGAAGGAAGCAGAGAAGATGGGGCTCCAAATCAACGAAAACAAGACGAAATATATGTATATGAGCCGCAATAACCAAAGCAGAGACAGAATCGGTCAGAACATTACAATCGATGACTTTAACTTTGAGCGCGTTAGAGAATTCAAGTATCTTGGAACAACAATAACTGAAGACAATAACGGATCACAAGAAATAAACAGCAGGATTCAGGCCGGCAACAGATGTATTTTTGCCCTCGAAAACCTTATAAAATCAAAACAACTAACACGACGTACGAAGATACAGGTCTATAAAACAATCATACGACCCGTTGTGATGTATGGAAGCGAAACGTGGACGATAACAAAGGCAAATGAAGAGAGACTACGTGTTTGGGAAAGAAAAATCCAAGGAAGATCTTTGGTCCGGTGCTTGATGAAGCATCAGGACAATATAGGAATCTAATAAAGAGCTTGAAGAACTTTACCCAGACGCCAACATCATAAAAGAAATACAGTAAAGAAGACTCCAATGGGCAGGACACCTCAGAAGACATTCTGACGAACGAACAGTAAGACTGGTGTGGGAGGAAGTCCCAACTAGAAGGAGACCACGCGGACGCCCTCGTCTCCGGTGGCGAGATAATATAGCAGGAGACCTAAGCACTATGGGCGTGGAGAATTGGATGGAGGTTGCTCAAGACAGAAAACAGTGGAGGCATGTTGTCGAGTCGGCTAAAACCCACGAAGGGTTGTAACGCCACGGAGTGAGTGAGTGTGGCAAACTTAACGTCTGAATAAGACTCTGCCGAATAATCTGTTATAAACGAGATAGCCTCTCCATATTGCGAAATTTATTACGTACTAAGCCTCGCAGTAATGGTCGCCAAGCAGTTAGCATTAAACTGTCTTCATGGTTTATTTCTCTATGGTTTATTCGTATGAGCACAGTCAACCTGAATGCACTTATTAAGCAATATCTTTATCGATAGTAGTAAAATGTAGCAACTGTGCAATCTCGAATGTAAACAAGCAATGAAGTCGGATAGTCGCCAATATTTCACGATTTGTGTATTTCATGATTTACACAGTCAGGTCAAATAAAAATGAAACTAACTTGCAGTATATCTGTTTAAAAAAAAAGATAGATGATAGTTATGTCAGAGAACTACGAAGTTCCCTGGTTATGTGTGAGAAAAGCAAATGATCACGTCGGTATATGAAAGATTGCGTAGAAGAAATGCGTTAATTTATTTGTTGAATTTGTTAAATATATCTAGAACTCCGCCTCTGGTAGTTGCTGGGTGGATTAAGTGGCTTGGTAACTATCAGTGCCCGTCCCAAGTCCGGATAAAAAGACGAAGGTTTGCGTCAGAAAGGAAATCCGGCAGTAAAAATCTTGC